GAGCCATGCTGGCAGCTCTGGACGTGGCGGGGAGCAGGGCGGCGGGAGGGTCAGGTCCAGCCCTGTCGGGCACCCTGCGACCTGGAGGGGCTTGCACGGCCGCTCAGACCCGCAGGCGTCGCTGCGTGTCCCGGACGAGGCCTCCCTTCACGGTCTGTCCAGACGTGCTGGCGTCAGAGGGGGCTTCCAGGAGCGGCTTTTAGCATTCAGCGTGTGGGACGCTCACGTTCCGACTCGGCTGTTCTCAGCGGGGGCGCTCCGGGCTCGGTCCCCGCGCTCCTGGCTCTGCCCTGACTCCGCGGCCCTGGAGCCCACCTCCCCCTGGCCTCACCTTTCACGTTATAAACAGTCCGCCTACAGAAGACGGTTGAAAAGGAAAGGCTGAGGACGATTGAAAAATCGTCTGCAGCTTGCACTGAAGTGAGGGAAACAACTCATTTCAGGATTCAAATGCCAGTTTGAAGTAGCTCACAGGGAACTGTCACATCGGTGGGTTCTTCATGTGAGGGCTGCAGCAGGCGTGTCTTTCCGTTGCTGCTGCGGGCCGTCCGTCTGTCCGTCCGTCCGTCTCTGGTGTGAGTCCTGGGATGTGCCGTGAACCAAGCTCAGCCTCCGCGAGGAGCTGCCCGCTGGGATCGCGCATCCCCCGTGAGAGGAGGACCAGGCGGCCCGGGAGGCCCGGCTTCGAGACGCGGGACCGCCGGGGGTGCTGGGGTGCCAGCTGTGGGGCCCTCGCGTGCCCACGGGCTTCCCCGTGTCCTGGAGCAGGCGGGCCCGGCGGCCTCCCAGCGTGGGTTCAGGACGTGGGTGTCTGCCTGGAGGACGATTTTGTGTCTCACCTACAATACCTTCCCCTTAGGCCCGAGCCCTTCAACCCGACGGTCTTGCTTACAGGGAGACCTTGAGTGGAGAGAGCGAGTTACTGTGTGAGCTTGTGCTCTGCTGCAGTCTGGGCATGCGGTCCCGCGGCCTTAGTCCTAACCAGCCGTGCCGCGTGCTGCTTGGGTACCGGGGTGGCCCCCGGAGGTGAGGGGCTCCGCAGTGTGAGATAGGCCTGTCGGCACGAGGGGTGCTTTATTTTTAGCAAGTGGCATTCAGCGTCTTGCAGAGCTGGGAGTGGGACAGCCGTGGACGTGAGTGACACTGAAACGGGAGCCAATTACTTCTGCAGGTGTCAGAGGCCAGGGAGGGTGTCTTTGGTCTCCTGTGTGCAGCCCTGGGAGGCTGTCACCTGGACAGCCTCCCATCATCGCCCCCAAGGGCATCCAGGTCTCGCGGGCTGCTGCTCCAACTCACGGTGAGTGGCCTGAGCTTGATTCTCTGAAGACCGGCCTGAGGGACTGCAACTAACTCGGTAATGTAAAAACGGCACGCGACTGGCTTTACCCTAATGCTGATCCCTGCACGGAATGAGCCCGAACGTGTCCTCTCTAGGCCCACGGGGCAGATTGCATGGCAGGGACAGCAGGCCGCCGACAAGGAGGCACGTTAGAACGGTGTGTCCGAAAGCCACTGTGACACTCCGGAGAGCCTGAGGGCCGGGCCCAGCTCCGCCCAGTCTCTGCTGAGAAGCCGCCCATGGATGCTGGTGCTCCACCTGTCCTGATGAGGATGGGCTCCGAGGAGCCAGGACCGAGGTGGGCAGAGGGCTGCATCCGGGACCTCCCTCCCTCCCCGCCGCCCATCTGCAGGGTCCCTTTATAGTGACCAGAAGCTTCCAAGCTGTCGGCCACGCCTGGCCGACGTAGTCCAGTGCCGCGGCTGACACCGCACGGGCCGAGGAGGGCTCCATGTGCGGCCGGCATTTCTACATGGCAGGCTGTGAGGACCTGGGGATGTCCTGTCCGTGTCTATGTATTATATGGGGGGTGGTTTCAGGGGGGGGTTTTAGATAATTACGTTCATGTATTTATTTTTATTGGAGGTGCTGGGGACCGAACCCGGGACCTCAGGCACGCTGGGCACGTGCTCTTCCCGAGCTGCACCCTCCCCCACGCATGTCGATGGATTAATCATGCGTTGACTCAGTTGTGCTCTGGGTACGTGCTGGGTTAAGTGACACATTCTGTTAACACCCCCCTCAGCTGTTCGCTTTCCCTCGCAGTGTGACTGGTAGGCTCGCCGGAAACTGCGCACATGGCTCCGTGTGCGGCCCGGCAGATGTGTCTGTGGAAGGCACGGGCTGGACCGCTCTGCGGTGCCCTCTGTGTTTGGGTACCCTCCTGTCACCGCCAGCCCGCAGGCTGGGAGGCACAGATGAGGGACAGGAGAATCGGGCTTTGAGGACGCCTTGAAGCCAGCTCTGAGCACTGTTGTTTGTGCGTTTCTGCCGACAGTCCCACGGGCCGCCGGGCCTCATCCGGGGAAGTGGATTCCATGCTCAGAGCGCATTTCCCCGCGCGGGGAGCCCACCCTCCGCTTCGGTGAGCGCGCTGCTGCCCCGGAAGGCCCTCCCGGCGCCCTGCTGTCCGGGCGGCCCCTTATCTGGGCTTCTGTCTCCCTGTTTTCTGTGGGTACAGAAATGTGCGGTGCGTCCGGCCTGATCGTCCCCTTCTGGCTGTGTCCTGTGCCCGCTGGCGGGCCTGCTGAGCCTGCGAATCGGCAATGGCTTTGATGAACTGCTGCCGGGGGTCTGGCGGGAGGAGGGACCACCGTCTCCCCCTCTCCCGCCCCTGGAAGTCCTGCTGGCGAGCTGCTGAATGGGGGCTGCCGTTTGAGCAGCTGCGGGGCACGTGGCCGAGTCCGGGAGCGACCTGCAGGCCTTCCCACATCTGGCTGGGCTGTTTATATCCCACAAAGGCCTGTTTTTCTCTGGAAGGAGTGGGCATGTGGCGATGCTGTCATGTGCACGGGTGAAGCCAGTGAAACAAGCTTTTCAGTAAATGGCTTTCTGCTGCGTCCGGCACGTTCTCCTCGCACGCACAGGCCTCGCGGCTCCACACCTGCCCGGCGCTGCTGCGCGTGTGGCCCCTAAGGGGCCCCGCTCCTGCCTCGGGACAGCAGGCCTGGCTCTCCCGCGACACCTGGGGAGGGACAGGTCCCCCGGGGGCCCTCACCCCAATAGTGTTCTTTTTTTCTAAACTTTTTTTACTGAGTTATAGTCAGTTTACAACGTGTCAAATTCCCGTGTAGAGCACAATTTCTCAGTTATTCATGAACATACACATATTCATTGCCACATTCCTTTCTCTGTGAGCTACCACAAGATCCTGTGTATATTTCTCTGTGCTACACAGTGGAATCTTGTTTATCTATTCCACATTTTGAAATCCCAGTCTATCCCTTCCCATCCCCCATCCCCTTGGCAAC